ATTGTTAGGTCTGTAAGTACTTCATATTTTGCTTGATAAATTTAGTACCTGTTTAAGCTTCCATTTAGTGACTGATTTAGAAAGGARTTCGTGTCATYATGGTTTTCCTGTGTTACGATGTTTGCCGGTATCGTTTTCTGTTGTTGAACACTGCCCAGTGGAATATTCACTTCACTTGGCYTGGTGTCTTTTTGAGTTGCTTGAGTATGTTTACTGCCCCAAGAGAGATTCAGTATATCCTTCAACAAAGATATTTTGACACAGCACTTAATACATACTTATCTTCTTACCATGTTTTTGGCAGACAAAGTTGTTTTATTTAAGATCCCATGAACAACCATTCTTTTTGTTTTCTTACAACAACAAAATGCTAKTAACAAACTTACTTCTTGTTCTTCCTTTAGTTTTCTTTGCCTTTCTCTTTGTTTCTTTTCTTCRATTTGTTTTTCTGTAAATAATCACAAAGGTAAAACTAAAATTATGCAACGTGTTGAAAAGTCTGAACAATTTATTAAGTTAGTAGGTACCCTGTGGCACAGGACATCCATAATAAGTTGCATAAAACTTGCATAAGTTGCATAAAACGTCACTTACCTAACTCTTGTTTCCATTGCAATTCTTGAAGTCTTTTCTGTTGAGTGTCATTTGAAACCAAACCAGGTGCCTAGTAAGGAAGAAAATGATAAATTAAAAATATCTATGTATTTCAATTCAATGTACATTACCGTAAATTTTTTTTTTTGGTATTCATACATGACAGTTTATGAAGAATAAAGGAGATGAATTTCTACATGTATAATTGGGTAAACAAAAAACAGAAAAAGCTTGGGTGTGGAAAMAAAATGTATAATTCATAAATCTTCAGATAAATGGCCTCTATCTCTCTATTTTGGTTTAGGGCATATAAGAAACTCACCCCAGCAGCAAATGAACTTCTCATTGCAACGGGCAAAGTTGTGTCCRCATTGCTGGTACTGCTGCCTATTGTAGCTACAGGAGTGGGATGTGACTGCCCTGGGAAAGCTGAACTAYGGTTTAATACACCTGACTTTTCTTGTCTTGACATTTCCACTGATTCCTGTAAATAAACARTTGAAAACATAGCTATCATTTTGTGAGCAAGAATCTAACAGACTCGACTGGAATTATGAGTCAGAAGAACTGCCTGTTTAATTAACTGTAAACTAAATTCTGGCAAAATAATCAAAATATGCACAACTTTGAGGATGGCAGTTGATATAAACTTGTGAATAATCTAATACCCTACATGTGCAAATGCATGGCTACCTTTMAAKATCACAATAGGAACTAAGAAAGAGRAAATTAATTGGCCTAACCCTTAAAATTTAGAATACTTTGATTTGGATTATTATACAATAACTGAWTGTATACCTTGGGAACTCTATGATGATAGTCAGCTAACACTTTACCAGACTGGCTTCTTATTGGTGCACCAGCACCAGGTCGGCCCCAGGGATTGTAATCTTCAAATGCAGCTCTTTCCTAAGAACAATAAAACAAATGACCATTAACAAAATACTAGTTTTAGTAATGGAGAAGTAAATTGTGATATGTTTTGCATTAGTGGGCACTGATTAGACTTCTCCAAATACAACCAATGACTTTGGGCTCCCTGTGAAGGACCAAAAGGTTGGGGAAGACAGAGGATGACATTTGGGGTCCATTCCTCTCAGGTCCTTATGATGACAAACAAAGGAAACCAAGCATGGTGACTTTAGACAAGGGAAAGCCACCAAGATTGCCTAAGTCAGAAACTGAACAAATGAGAGTCTGTTTCCTTCACAGACACACTATGTCTTTGGTTTACACATACCTTTTGTTTTTCCAGTTCCTTAGCTTTTCTCTTTGAAATCACTTGATTGTCTTAGTAAGAGAAAAAATGATATAAGCATTGCAATTTGTGCAGTTATCTATGCTAACAATATAATGCATATCAAACATAATATACTTCTCAATAATAACTATTGAGTAGATCATATAAATTTTAGTATCTATCATGAAAGGCTCAAACATTTTCATCAGATTAACTTTCTAAATGACACCAAATTTAACAGTTTACTAGTTACTGCTTGATACAGTGCTTCATACAAGTGATGTTCACTGTTTTGAAGTCAGTTTGTGATTGTTWGAACATGCTTGCAGGTTTTTCATACAATCAAACGAATCAAGATATTGTTTGTTTAAATATCATGTAATGTTATGACTAGACATAACTGTAATTAAGTAGGAAATAAATTGRCATACATACCTATTTCTCTCATTTGTTGTACTTCATCAGCCTACAATATAGATTGCAATAAATGACTTATTACTCTGACCTACTATTAATTAAGACATCTATTTTCAAATTCAAAACGTTTTTAGTTGTTTACACTAAATGATGGTATACATTGTACATTATTTATTTTCAAAACTACATTTGACATCTTTGTTAGCATTCTGAAAGACTACTTCATCCCDGAAAAATATTTTGAACTAGATATACTCAGTACCTGTTTATTGCTCTTAACAAGATATTCACTCTCCTTTGTTTTGCTCAAAGAAGCCTGATCACTTCCACTTTTTCTGTAAAGACAATACAAAACTTACATATTTTATTATACAACAAATGAATAAAGAACAAAAAATGGATTTTACCTTTGAACATYAGCCTGTTTGCTTTGCTCTTGTTGATCTGATAAACATAAAAAGCTTTTAATCGACAAATGTAATACTAAAAGATAAATATTATACCCATGCTTTGTCAGTCCATTAATATTATTATAAAGGTTGTTAGGAAAGAGGTTATTTTTGGCATGTTTGCAGGTAGCTGTAAGGAATCCGGACACAAATGTCTGAGGAGATGTAAACTTTATATTTTAAAATTCAACATTTTAATATATATCTGGCATGTTTACAAATRAAAGACCTAGGGTCCTTACCTTGTGTGTCTGTAGATTTCATCTTGTTAAGAGATGTGACAAGAACAGACAGCTGTTCTGGAGACAAACTGCTTGCAGCTCCATTACCTTGCCCATTGTTCAAC